TATTCAACTAAAATATGTTACATTTCTCAAACAATATATGAAATTACAAAATTACACCGACTATATAAATAATATATATTAATATCGAAGAAATTGTCGAAATGCTACCACTTGAAAATAAAATCATAATGCAAAAAATATATACGAAATCTATTACAAATTGTTATTTCTTGAAAATGGAAACCTTAGATTATGTACATATCTCTTCATACTCATTTAAAGATTTTTTTATTACATCCAATGTGTAATATGCTGCTTTCTATTCCATATTTTCAATTCTGAATACCATCATTTTAAACATTCAGGGTACGTAACGTCTTCATGTTTACACACTGTAAGAGTCGTTTCATGTACCTTTCAGGTAGAAGTACTTACTTGGACGTAAAAGTATACTGAAAAATGTCACTTCACCAAGTAACATGACAAAATATTGTAATTTGAACAAATAAATCAAGTAACGCGAATTATCCAAATCATCAAGTTATACATAAAAGTCGCATATTTTAAAAATCACATGTGATATTAGAAATAATTTCCATTCATCGTGCAAGTTCAGACTTTTAACAATTAAATTTTAGAATACTAATCCATATAATTAAAAAAAATGGAAAATATTGGCACGTGATTTTTCAAATTACTGCATGTTAAAAAATCACATACAGATTTGGAATAATCCATTATTTGATTTACTAATCTTATTTACATGATTTTATCAACTTCGTGATGTTACATTTTTAAAAAGAATCCACTAATTACTAAAAAGCACAAATAATGCTTACAGCCCTATAAGCGATAGTACACATCATTATGGTGGTACACTCGAAATAATATCAAATGATAAAACTGAGCCCTCCGTAAAATTCGATTACGATTCTCGGCAATAAGAATCAACTACTGACTGCACCTGTTCATGACCACTAATATACAAGGAAAAAATGAACTCACATAGGCTCAGCTTATCGCAACTCATTGCTTTTTTCCAACGACTCACATAATTACCTAACAAATGTTTACGACAATTGAGTTCATCTCACGATTTTTTCTAATACAGATTAAAAGTTTAAAAATCGTATGACGTTTTTTCATATAAGCTCAGTTTCAAGTTTCATCATTGCAATATTGTTTCTAATTAAAATATCGGTTCTAATTTGAGCCGTACAAAGAAAATAGCGATATTTTCATGTACTTTGTATACGTTACACATATAAAAGAACAACATTCAATTGTTTCCGTTTCAATACTAAAACGACAATGTCACTGCAATTGCAAGAGCGTGTCAGCGTGTTTTAAAAACGTTAAAGTTATTTAAAGAAATAGACAGTAAAAGTCAGAATGTTTCGTATCTTAAGCGCTTTATCAACTTTACACGTCAACTCTTATAGGCACAAAATGATCCTAGAGCGTCATATAAACATAATTTATAAAAGTTAAAATATAATAAGTATTACATATTATTTCGGTAATATTTTATACTTTTTAAAATTGTGAGACTATTCTATGGATGTTGTACGTTCTTTTATGTAATATTTTTCGTATTTTTTTTATAATATCGCTAAATATTACTATACATACAATACCGTAGTCATTTTTATTACTGCAATTCTTATCCACAATCCAGTAATAAAAAGGTCTTAGTCACTGTTGCTAAAATTAATTTTAATGTCCTTATAATATTACAGTTAAACTAAATAATAATAAAGATTTTAAATAATTAATATAGTATTATCAGGATAAAACGTATAATCATCCATTAATAGTGCAAGAATATACTGTATTAGATAATGTTATAAATTTTATTAAGTTTTTGCTAATAGGGTACTTTGAACTTCTAGAATATGCCTGATATATTTTGAGTTGCCAATCCGGTTCGAAACAATTTGATTTTTAAAACAGGTTGACATGATAACTAGTAAATTTCATTGTCATAAATTTTTGAAAAAGATTTCATCGATAAAGCGTAGGTAAAATGTTGTTTTTCTTTTTATATTAATAACACAAATGTACTCTACATAAGATTATATGGTATAAAGGATCAATCAATATCAGTTTGATTTCGATTAATGCCCATTTCCACCAACGCAGATTAATTTTAATCTTGGTTCAATTTGCTCTTCGTCTTTTTCTAGTTCTAAAAATTAAAAAAAATGAACAGTAAGTTAAACCGAGATTAAAGTTAATCTACATTGGTGGAAACTTACATTAGACTCACCAAGAGTATTTTTTACTTTACTATAACGCTTCTTATATTACTTACTTAGTTTACACGTTCTAAATATATTTGGACACTATTACTTTTCCACCTAATAATCATCCATTAATAGTGCAAGAATATACTATATTAGATAATATTATAAATTTTACTACGTTTTTGCTAATACATTTGAATTTCTAGAATTTAATATATTTTGAGTTGCTAATCCGGTTTGAAACAATTTGATTTTTAAAACAGATTGACATGATAACTGGTAAATTTCATTGTAATAAATCTTTGAAAAAGATTTCATCGATAAAGCGTTAGTAAAATGTTGTTTTTCTTTTTATATTAATAACACAAATGTACTCTACATAAGATTATATGGTATAAAGGATCAATCAATATCAGTTTGATTTCGATTAATGCCCATTTCCACCAACGCAGATTAATTTTAATCTTGGTTCAATTTGCTCTTCGTCTTTTTCTAGTTCTAAAAATTAAAAAAAATGAACAGTAAGTTAAACCGAGATTAAAGTTAATCTACATTGGTGGAAACTTACATTAGACTCACCAAGAGTATTTTTTACTTTACTATAACGCTTCTTATATTACTTACTTAGTTTACACGTTCTAAATATATTTGGACACTATTACTTTTCCACCTAAAATCGTAAAAAAGAATAACTACTTAATAATATAATAGAATGATAATAATCTGACAGCTATCATGAAGAGTAATAAGGAAGTAATAAACAGAAAACTGTACCAAAGTTAGAATTAATTATAAAACATGAAATATTTAAAATTATGGTGACACCTTCTTTGACTTTAGTTAGCTCTTATTTGTACGTATTGATGATTTAACAACTTTTAATGCACTAGTCACAGTTTAGATATATAGATCAAGAACAAAGAATACAGTTTAATTTAAAATTGTTTGTTGACAAATAAGCCAGTAAAAATCTTGGGAACAAGTAATCGAAGATCTTTAAATGTGTGTATACCTTTATATGTGTATCTATACATACATGCCTACGTATATATATAAATTGGTGCTGCTTACGAGAATCGACACTTTGCACAATAGCCCCCGACCCAGACAGCACAGTAATGTTTAAAAAATGTATTTAAAACGTACATGTTGGACGTTTGGACATATTAAAAACATCCAGATTAGATCCATGGATATTTTAAAAACGTTTTAAAAATATCCAGTGTTACCATTTTGGACTTCTTAAAAACGTCCATTTTAGGATGCAATGGACTAAAACTGGACTAAATTAATATATTAAACAAATTTTTGACCACAATCCACACAAATTTGCACACTGAAAGCAAAATGATTCCTAACTATTATGATTGCAAGCAGCAAGCTATTGTTGCTTGTCGCTTGTTGCATATCTGAATTAAGCTTTAATTTAATAAATTTTCGCGTTACCGGAGATATCAAAAGTAAAACTCCTCGTGCAATCATAAAAAAATTTTCCCCTCGCAAGTCAACGAAAGCAATACGTCACAAGCAGACTTAGAAAATTTTTTGCATGAGATAAACATTTTTTAAATGTTCAAATGTAAACATACTTTATACGTTGAATAACGTACGTTTTTAAAACATTCGTACTAAATCCATGGACGTATGGACCAGATTGAAACCAAGTCTGGATGTCCAATGGATGTTGTGTGCTGTCTGGGTATAAATTACACAATAATGTTAACTATTTTACTATTTATGAATGAGAAATTCATTTCCTGGATTAATTTTCATTACCCTTATAAATATATAATTTATTAAGTAATTCTTATTTAAAAAATATTTATAAAGTGTTATGTATGTATATCAAAAGCGTGAAGAGAGAGAGAGAGAGAGAGAGAGAGAGAGAGAGAGAGAGAGAGAGA